CCCCATACTGAGAATTGAACCAAGGGCTTTTGCACTAAGTTACATCCTCAACCCCCCCTTTTTTTTTTTTTTGGTCTTTTTGAGACAAGGGTCTCCCTGTGCAGTTCAGGCTGGCCTGCAGCTTGCTTTGTGGCCCAGGCTGGTCTCGAATGGTCCTCCTGCCTTAGCCTCCTGAGTGTTGGGATTACAGGTGTGCACCACCATGGCTGGCCAGTTCGTAACACATAAGCTGCACATCTTTTTTTGATAAAGTATAGGCCTCCCATTTTCTTTTTGTTTTTAACTTCACACTTTTTTTTTTTTTTTTTTCCGGTACCAGGAATTGAACTCACGACCTTGGTGCTTGCCAGGCAGGCGCTGTGCTGCTGAGCTAAATCCCCAGTCCCTTGTTTTGTTTTGTTTTGAGACAGGGTCTCTGTTGTAGCCCATGCTGGCCTCAAACTCATGATCCTCTTGCCTCAGTTTTCCAAATGCTGGGATTACAGGTATGTGCCACCACACCTAGGTATGTTAGCTGATTTTTTTTTTATATGTATATTTTTTTTTAGCCAGAGTTACATTGGTGGCATTAAAATCGCTAGGAAAAGTGTTGAGGTCTAGGGCTAGGAGTGTGTGGCTCAGTGGTATGGTATATGCTTAGCATGCAGAATGCTCTGAATTTAATCCTCAACAATGGGGAAAAAAATAAAAATAGTTAAAATTTTTTTATGAATGAGCTTTTAAGGAGTTATTTTCCTGTATGATCAAGTTTTATTTTACTTTTTAAATTGTTTTTGTTTTGTTTTTTGGCAGCACTGGGGATTGAACCCAGAGCTTTTGTCCTGATCTATATCCCCAGCACATTTTTTGCAGCAGGGTATTGCTTATTTGCTCAGGCTGGGCTTGAACTTGCAGTCCTCCTGCATCAGCCTCCCAGAGTGCTGGGATTATGGGCACGTGCTACCACACTCATTTTATTGTGTTCTTTCTAATGTACACCTTGTCAGATTTTTCTACAGAGGTATTAATTAGGGTCATTGTGCCTTTGGGGACTGGAGCGAGGGGAAGGGTTTTATGTCTTTTTACTTATTCATGTTTCTGTATTTTTCTTCTGATTGGTTTACTATAAGGAGGTGGGAGGATAGGCTCCGTTGCAGTTGTTTTATTGGAGTATTTTTTTTTTTTGGTACCGGGACTCGAACTCAGGACTTTGCTCTTGGCCAGGCAGGGAGTGTCCACTGAGCTATATTCCTGGCCCTTGTTGAAGTGTTTTAATAGTGAATTCAACCCAAAATGAAAAATGGTACAAAACTTTGTCTTGCTATTTAATTTAGAGTTTCTTGCATTGGACATACAAAAACAAATACTTTCTTTTTCTAGGTTTCTCAATTTGGGTGCAGGTCATTTGCCTTGCTTTTTGATGATATTGACCACAATATGTGTGCAGCAGACAAAGAGGTATTCAGCTCTTTTGCTCATGCACAGGTGTCGATCACAAATGAAATTTATCAGTACCTGGGAGAGCCAGAAACTTTCCTCTTCTGTCCTACAGGTATTGTATGATTGTCCTTATTGATACGTGTAATTTCTAAAGGGCCCTGTGTATGGGCCCTCATTAGCCACCCCTCCCCCACTGGTGTGTGCAGATAGGAATCCTTTTTTTGAAAGACATTTCTCAAGGTCTTATATTGGAGAAGTCGAGGACTTGGGAGAAGATCTTCGTGTTTTAGTACTGGAAGTGTATATCATACATTGTCGGGATATTAGAGGCAGGATACTGTTACTGGAATGAAAACTGGAGAAAATGAAATTACACTGCTCTGTGTCACTTCTCATTTCCTCCTCCCCGTTCCCTTTTTCTGTTCCTGCGTAGCTGTCCCTGTTCCACTCCTCCCACTCCCATCTGGTGGAGTCAGTGTGGAAAGCTTAATAATTCTCCCACTTTCTTTTTCCCTCTCCAGTTTATTTCTCCATCAAAACTATTTGTCTTTTTTTAGTTGCTCTCAAAATTCAACTTAGTTTTCCCCCATACTGTTCGTTGTCAGTAACAGATAAGTTCTATGAATCTGAAATTGAATTACTTTTTATGTATGTCTTAGAATTGTGAGCCCTGAACCTTATTTTAGTATGTAGTCTAACACTCCATGAAAGTTCTTGTTCTTAATGAGATATTAGACATTCATTTCAAATCATATTGTAGATTGTAGTTGAGTACTAATAGGCATGTTATGATCTTGTATTTGTTCTACTATGATATTATCAATTCATTCTGTTTGGCCTCTGATTGCAAATGAAAAATGTAGGTGACTCAGAATTAAGTACAAAATGCTGAGATTCTAATTGTTAATTTTGTAAACTTGTATTTCTAGTGACTAGCATCAGAAGGCTTGATGTGTACTACTGTTGTAAGAAGAATATTAGATTTTATAAGTTGATTCTTAAATTAACTACATGCTTAAGTTTAATCTCTTTTAGGTATGCTATGTAGGGCTTTTATTATTTTGATGAAGAGAATTTAGAATTGTTAGGTGTTTTTTCCTCATCCAAAGCCCATGACCATTTATTTCACTCCTGTTTTACTTCTATTCCCCCCACATTCAGAATATTGTGGCACTTTCTGTTATCCAAATGTGTCTCAGTCTCCTTACTTAAGGACTGTGGGTGAAAAGCTCCTACCTGGAATTGAGGTGCTTTGGACAGGTAAGTCAAGATTTATACAGTAAAACTGATTGGGCCCCAGAAAAATTGGTTGGATTGTGTTTCGGTTTTTTGTTTTGTTTTTTGAGACTGGGTCTTGCTATATATTCCAGGCTGATGGAACTTTCAGTGTTTCTGCCTTGGCTTCCTTATGCAAGGATTACATATGTATACTACCATACTACACCTGTCTGATCATGGGGTTTTTTGTTTTTGTCTTTTTGAGATAAGGTTTTACTATACAGTTTTTCAGGCTGGCCTTGAACTCAACTTTGTATCCTGTGCAGGCCTCAGACTTACAGTGATCCTCCTGCCTCAGCCTCCCAAGTGCTGAGATTACAGGCATGTGCCACCATGCCTAGCTGTTACTTTGTTTTGCTTTTTTTGTTATTTTGATGCAGGGTTTTACTGTGTAGTTCTGGATGCCCTTGAGCTAACTGTAGCCTTGTGGGGCCCCCAACTCATGGTGATCCTCCTTCCTCAGCCTCCCAAGTGTTGTGATTATAGGCATGTGCCACTATGTTTGGCTGTTACTGCTAATTGAGTTTTTTTTTTTAAATAAACTTTAGGAAAATAATTATTTTATGATGTGTGCATGCTTTACTTAGTATTAAAAAATGTGGGGCTGGGGATTTAGCTCAGCGGCACAGCGCCTGCCTGGCAAGTGCGAGGTCATGAGTTCGATCCTGGTACCAGGAAAAAAACCCAAAAAAAGAAAAAAAAAAGTTTTGCCAGTTGTGGTGGTACATGCCTGTACACTCTATGATGCTGAAGTAGAAGGATTGCAAGCTGGAGTCCAGCCTAGGCAATTTACTAACTTACTGAGACCCTGTCTCTGTTCAAAAAAAAAAAAAAAATGCTGGGATCGTAGTGTAGTGTGAAAGCCCTGGGTTTAGTTTCCAGTACCACAAATGAGTTGGGAGACTTGCTTGCCCTAGGGTAGTCTTTGAAGTTAAGGATTTAAGTTGATCCTTTTGCCTCAGTCTCCCAAGTGACCAAGATGATAGACATATAGAAAACATTTTGAGCTGGGCATGGTGGTGCACATCTGTAATCTAGGCAGGAGCATTCCCTCCCCCCACCACACCAGTACCGGGAACTGAACTCAGGATCTTGCACTTGCCAGGCAGGTGCTGTGCTGCTGAGCTAAAATCCCCAGCCCCTAGGAGGATTATTTTGAAACCCTGTCTCAAAAAAACATCTTGAAGGATGTGGGCATGGTGGTATACCTCTGTAATTGCAGCACCCTGGAGGCTCAGACCTGGATACTGTGAGTTCGAGGCCAGCCTGGGCTACGTAGTGAATTCAAGGACAGCCTGAGCTACATAGTGAGACGTGCTGCAAAACAAGACAAAACCCCCCAAGTCTTAAAGAATTTTGTAGTTATTCCTATGATGTTATTTAATAATGAAGATCTCTGGAAATTTAGTCTCACAGAACAAAAGGGAAAAAAAAGTTGCTGTGTTTAAAATAAAAACAGTGGGGTCTGGTGGTGTGACCTCAGTGGTAGAGTGTGTGCTTAGTGTGTGTGAGCCTTGGGTTTGATCTCAACCCTGCCCCCACAAAATAGTACAATGTAAGGAGAACGCAATAAAAGGTCATGTAGAATATATTTTAAAGAACCATGTAGGAGATTGTTTAAACATGTGGTCATTATTTTTAGGTCCCAAAGTTGTTTCTAAAGAAATTCCAGTGGAGTCTATTGAAGAGGTTTCTAAGATAATTAAGAGAGCTCCAGTGATCTGGGATAACATTCATGCTAATGATTATGACCAGAAGAGACTGTTTCTGGGCCCCTACAAAGGAAGGTCTACAGAGCTCATCCCCCGGTTGAAAGGAGTGCTGACGAACCCGAACTGTGAATTCGAAGCCAACTATGTCGCTGTCCACACCCTCGCCACCTGGTACAGGTCCAACATGCACGGAGTGAGGAAGGACGTGGTGATGAGTGAGTGGCCTGCACCTGGTCCTTGGCTGTAGGGGAGGGCGGGCCAGCTACAGCCATGGGCAGAGTGTATTTCTTTGTCAGCACAGTGGAGGAGGAGACTAGTATGTGTTGTTCCTTTCTACTAATGAGTATGTGTATGGTAAAAGACTGAGTGGCTTTGGATAGATCATGTAGCTTCTTGGCCTTCATTCTTTCTTTTTTAATTCTTTATTAGTGCATCTTTGTAGTACATGTTTATGTTCATGGTAGGGAGTTGATACATGTAAATTCTTTGCTTTGAAACTGTGACTCAAAAAAAAAAAAAAAAAAAAAAAAAAAAAAAAAAAAAGAAACTGTGACTCAATCTTTGAAGTCAGACAGTAGATATAATCTGTGTTTCTGTTAGCCTTAAAATCATTTTCCATCAGTTTTCAGGTGATTTTATTAAATGGGATATTTTATGTATTTTTTTGGTGCCAGGAATAGAACTCAAAACATTGTAATTGCCAGGCAGGCCCTTGTGCTGCTGAGCTGTATCCCCGGCCCCTAAATGGAACATTTTAGATGATTAGATTTGAATTACTTTGTATATCACTTAGGGCCACCTTACACTTGTGAAACGTACCCTTATTTTAGACATTGGCTTTCCAGTTTTTTCATTTCTAATTGTTTTAAGTAAGAGAATCCTGGGTGTTACTTCATTATTTAAGTAACCAATTAAGTAGCCAGGTATATCTTCCTGGGTAATGAAGATTTACAGAGAAGAAAGTCCCTAATTTTGAAAAACAGTCTGTTGAACAAGACATGTTTTAAGTATTGTGGTAGTTACCTACAAATTGATGTGAGAATACAAAGGGTGTGACCACTTCTGCTAAGCAAGTGTAGCAATAAGAAATGATTTCACAGATACTTGATGTGGGTCAAAGTATGAATAGAGTTTGCTGTACATTAAAGGTTCATGGGCTGGAGGGGAAAACGCTGAACGTAGATTTTTATTTGAGATAGGGTATCTGCTGTGTAATCTAGGCTGTCCTTAAACTCACTGTGTAGCCCAGGCTGACCTTGAACTCCTAGCGATACTCTTGCCTCAGCCTCCTGAGTGTTGGGATTATTCAGGTGCCACCACGACTGGCTAAACATAGAAACTTCGAAGTTCTCTGAATTTTGCCCCCCCCCAGGGATACTGAAGTATAGTCAGTGACACTTTGTGATACATCACTGAGGTCAGTTCTGTAGCCATGCTTCTATTTGTTTATTAAATTAATGCGTGTGTTTATGGCTCATTGTAGTCTTCTTTCCAGCAAATAATTAGTAATATAATCTCAGTACCTTTTGTATACATGGTCATCTTTGGAGGGGACAGTACTGGGGATTGAACCCAGGGGGGCAGAGACACATCCTCGGCCTTTTTTTTTTTGTTGTTGTTGTTGCTGTTGTTTAATGAGACAAGGTCTCATTAAATTATCAATATTGGCAACTCCTCCTGCTTCATCCCTCTGAGTATCTGGGATTACAGTGTGTGCCACTACACTTGGTTAGCTTCTGTATCTTACCTTCTAACATGTTCCCACTGCTTGAGCCACCAGTGGTACAGGCATGACTGTCCCATCAGGCAGCTTTCTATTAATTTTATTAGTAAAAAGACCAATAGAGGTGATTAGATCTGTTTACACCATCAGTGAGTGGTACAGGCTTCCCAGTGGGACAGTCATGCCTATACCACTGGTGGTTCCAGCTGCCTGGCAGCAAGACACACGCATTAAGGCCCTGTTGTAAACGTGTTAAGGCAGAGTGCGGAATACACCGAGGAGTAGCAGACACTAGCCAGACTGGACTGTGTGGTGGAAAGAAAGCAAGCTAAGACTAGGGGATGTTTGAATACTTAATTTTCTCTTCCTGGTTCTCTCTGTCCTGGTTCAGAGCATCATTGGTTTATCTGTGCTCATATTAAGGTTCTGTTTTGTTTTTTTTCCTCTTCTCAATGCTTTACTGTGAAGTTACCAGCTTCTTAAGACTGGGGAATGTTTTCTTTATGAAAAGCATACTGCCTTTAACCTTGAATTCCCAACAATTGGTATTCAGTGGACATTCATGATCAACTTTTCCAATGATTGTAAAATTAGTACTCGTTTCATTTGGGATTTTACATTTAGCAGTGTGTTTAGGTAAGTAACCTAAATGAAGTGGTCAATGAAGGGTCTTGCTGATGTTTGCATTTTTATATTCAAAGTTTCTGCTCTAGCTCTTTATTCTTACAGTATTGTAACAACTAATTTATCTCTCACTTGTCAGGAGACTCTTGTAATCCAAACTTTTTTTTTGTTTTGTTTTGTTTTTTTCAGCTGACAGTGAAGATAGTACTGTATCAATCCAGATAAAGTTAGAAAATGAAGGCAGTGATGAAGATATTGAAACTGATGTACTCTATAGTCCACAGATGGCCCTAAAGCTAGCTTTAACTGAATGGTTGCAGGAATTTGGTGTACCTCATCAATACAGCAGTGAGTTTGGCCATTTTTTTTAAGGGGATTAACTGGATCACATAGTTGAATCACAAAATAACATTGTCATTTCTCTTACCTTGGGCCACTAAGCAGATTTTGTTGTTGTTGTTGTACTGGGAGTTGAACTTAGGATCTTGCGCTTGCCAGGCAGGTACTTGTGCCACTAAGCTAATCCCCAGCCCAAGCAAAGTGAAGTTAAATGAAATTTAGAAGTCTTGAGAATAAGTTTAAAAAAATCTTACTGTGGTCTTTTTTTGGCAGTGCTAGGATTGAACCCAGAGAGCACTGCGTTACAGCCTTCATTCTTTTCAAATGTTGAGATCAGATCTAATTTGCCTAGCCTGGTTTTATTTTTTTTATTTTTTATTTTTTTTTGTTTTTCTCCGGTACCAGGAACCGAACTCACGACCTTGCGCTTGCCAGGCAGGCGCTTTTGCTGCTGAGCCAAATCCCCAGCCCCTAGCCTGGTTTTAAATTTGTGACCCTCATACCTTAGGGTCTGAGTAACAGGGCTTACAGGCATGTACCACCAAACTTGGAAACACTTTTAATCTTTTTAAAATAGTTTTTATCTGGATAAAATGCTAATTTGAAATATTTGTTTTAAAATATGTATCTTGCTGGATGTGGTGGTGCATACTTGTAATCCCAGCACTCAGGAGACAGAGGCTGAGGCAGGAAGATCACTGTGAGTTCTTGGCCAGCCTGAACTACAGTGCGAGGCCCTGTCTCAGAAAATAATTAAGTAAACAAACCTTCAGAGAAAAGATAATAGATGTCAGCATGTTGGAGGATGTTTACCACCTGTCCTCCCCACCCTCATCCACCTGTATCTGTACTTTCCTGGTGGTTTAAAGAAATTTCCCCCTTCTCAGGGCTCAGAGTATTTGGAATCTTAAATTGAGCTTCTCATTCCAGATGTCTTGACAAGAAGAAAGCATTTTTCTAAGTTGGAATTTGTTCTGATTGCGGTATCTCTTGACTTTGTTTTTGTAGGTAGGCAAGTTGCACACAGTGGAGCTAAAGCAAGTGTAGTTGATGGCACTCCTTTAGTTGCAGCACCCTCTTTAAATGCCACAACTGTAGTCACAACAGTTTACCAGGAGCCCATTATGAGCCAGGGAGCAGCTCTGAGTGGTGAAACTACAGCTCTGACCAAGGAAGAAGAAAAGAAGCAGCCAGATGAGGAACCTATGGACATGGTGGTAGAAAAACAAGAAGAAGCAGACCACAAGAATGACAATCAAATACTGACTGAAATTGTTGAAGCTAAAATGGCAGAGGAATTGAAACCAATGGACACTGATAAGGAGAGCATAGCTGAATCAAAGTCTCCAGAGATGTCTATGCAGGAAGATTGCATTAGTGATATTGCTCCTATGCAGACGGATGAACAAACAAATAAGGAGCAATTTGTGCCAGGTCCAAATGAAAAACCTTTGTACACTGCAGAACCAGTGACTCTAGAGGATTTGCAGTTACTTGCAGATCTTTTCTATCTTCCTTATGAGCACGGACCCAAAGGAGCACAGATGTTACGGGAATTCCAGTGGCTTCGAGCAAATAGCAGTGTTGTTAGTGTCAACTGCAAAGGAAAAGACTCTGAAAAAGTGAGTATGCTTAATTTACTTACTTTTCTAGCCTGTGTGGTTCCCTGTGCTGGTAACTTGCATAGACTAGGCAAGCATTCACCACCAAGCTATGTCCCTAGCCTTCGTGGAGGTTCTTAAATGAATACAGTGAGAACTGGCAGGAAATCGACCACATTATGAATATGTTCATAAAGTGGGTGTGGACTCTGCAGAATGAACGAGGGTTATTTCAGGCATTGTCAGTTTAGAGATACAAACTATTCAGTTGCTTAAACTATTTAACTGGCTTGGAATTTAAGCCAGTGATTGATGTTTTGGATAAATTGCAAGTAGCTGATAATAAACACCTTAGACTATAATGGTTTCACATTATTTTGTTAAGCTTACAGTATTTCGGGTCTCTTGATCTTCAATAGATTGAAGAATGGCGGTCACGAGCAGCCAAATTTGAAGAAATGTGTGGACTGGTGATGGGAATGTTCACTCGGCTCTCCAACTGTGCCAACAGGACAATCCTTTATGACATGTACTCCTATGTGTGGGATATCAAGAGTATAATGTCTATGGTGAAGTCTTTTGTACAGTGGTTAGGTATGTGCACCAGGAATAATCTATTCTCAAATACATTATACCTGTAAAAAAAATTACCCCACAGGGAGAAAAACATTTAGGGAATTCGCAAATTTCTAAACGTATTTTCAGTTCTTTGCCTGGGCTTTTGCAGTAGTGGGCATTGTTGAAGACTTGAGATGTAAGTCTTGGTAATTACATTGAACACATTAATTTTTCTCCCTTGGGCTAATTCAGCATAAATATCTTGAAAATATGTTAGCAAGAACTGACTTTAACTTGCTCTGACTGAATGCTTCCTGGATGGAACACTCTACTACCTTTGTCTGATTTGGAGATGAGACACTATGAAATGTGACTCTAGGCTTTCTGCTGCTTGCTGTGTCTTCGTGACATTAATGCTGTGTTTAATGGAACAATCGCTGAACCGACCCAAGGGGCCTGGCAAGAGGAACCCATCCTCCCAGCCCTGTGCGCATGCGAGTTTTAGTGGAAGGCTATTCTGGTGCTACTCATTATTCCACATGGCTTTTTCTCTATCCCTCTACCAAGTAATTGGTTTTAGCAGAGGGTGGACATTTTAGTCCCCTAAAAATTCTGCTTTGTTCAGTGGACTTTACTGTCTACTTTGAAAACAATGACTTTTTTCTTTGTGGTAATTTTCAAACTTGGTAAAGAGCACCAGCATGGCCAAGTTTCTCCAGGGACCTTACTTTATTTCCAGGTTCTCAATCCAGCTATAAGGAATATGTAATGGACTTACTTACAGCACACAGCAGGCAGCAAAGCTGACTGACATGTCATAGTTTTCATAGTGGTCACAAACACTGTGATGGGTTTTCATCATCTTAGTTGTGAAACAGACCGTCTGAAACACCCGGAGCTTAGATTAAGGAGTAGTAGTAATGAGATTCCTCATTTTCTGCCCATGTACATTTGGGGCTCTTAGATACTAAAAAATGACAGCTTTTCTGTGATACACCTAGTTAGCGGCTGAAATAAGTCTCCTTGTCGATTTGGAGATACAGAACATCCTTTGGGCTGCCACATACTTGGGCACAACAGGTAGAGGAGAATTTTAATTCTGTTAAGAGGCTCTAGAATACCCACTGTGGGTGGAAAACATTTTGCCCTTAAGCTCAGAAAGAAAACCTCTACATTGGTCGTTAAATAACAGCATTTGCCTTCTGGGCTTCTGGCCAAGCAATTGCAGTTAATCCTTACAGAAATTTATATTAAAAATTTCCAAGGCTTCTAGGAATTTTGAACCTGAAGTCTAGAGTATTGAGCTTGAGAATATGTCATGTAAAACATTTGTTGGTTGTTCAACTTTTAATTCAGGAATTACTAAAGATTTTATCCTTGGGTACATATAATCTTAGGCTCTTTGTATTATACAAGTATGGGGGAATTTCCACAGATTGGATAGATGTTCAATTTCTAGGTCAGACTATCACAGATGTTGTAAATAATCATCTTGGCATTCACATGGCTCTACAAAGGTTCACAGCAGGGAGTGTATCCTCACCATTCTATAGTAATTTCAGGGGGATAATGATTAGAACTCTTTGTTTTCCTTCTCTCTCCAGTCCAGCTGGCATTCAGTCCTTTAAAGAATGTGGCTATGCAGTACTTTCGATTACTAATGACTTCTATTATCTTCTTCCCCATTGTGTACAGATGGGAGAACCCTCAGCACAAGTGTCTACTACTATTGGATGGACAGCGGCAGATGTTCACAGCGCGTCATGATTAATTAGTTTAAATTGAAAGGTTCTATCTGTGAGGTAGCTCAGGTAGCTTGAAGGGCAGTAGACATGAACTGAAGTCACGTTTGCGCAGCGACTGAGGCATTAACCATGTTTTCATTTACACAGCTCTTCGTATATGCAGCTTTTTTACTGTAATAGTTGGAAGTGCTAGTTACGTTGTAGTCTCAAAGTGGGGGGTAGAGGAAATTGGCTGATCTCAAAAGTTTAAGAAGTAGTTTTTCCTGCAGTGTAAATCACACTGAATTATGGAATGGGGCAAGTTCTTTTCATAATCTAAATTTTGACCCTATTTCATATTTGTTTTACAAGTACTATATTTTGTGTTTTTTTTAAAACCCTACCCCTAAACTATGACAAACCCAAATATAATCTAATGGGCCTGAATTGTCAACAAAAAACTTGGTTTGCTTTGGGACTGTCTGACTAGCACACTATTATCTTGTACTGATGAGACTGTTAACTTGAACAGGAGGTAGAATGCTGTCTTCCAATGGAAAAGAACTATATTGCGCTGCTTCATCTTGTCAGAAGACTAGGCAGGTGGTTTTCTTTTGGCATCCAAACATCTGCTTTAGTTATTTCTTAACTGTTAGCTTGATTGCCTTTGAGGTTGACTAAGTAGTGACCATAAATACTGTGGACCTCAAAGCTTGCCATTCCATGCATGTGTTCAGTGCATCCCAAAGATTGTAATGGCTGATCAGAAGAGTCAGATACTGTTACTCTTTAAAGGAAGTGTGTTTTAGTTCTGGACAAATTAGGAGCATCCATTGCTGCTTTAGTCTCCAGAACCTGCCAGACTGATAATTACAATTAACCAGTCTGAATTGCTCTTGTCTAAAAACATAATGTTTTCGTTGTGTTTTGTTTTATCAATTCTGGTGACCTTAGTTTTCTGACAAGATTAACCTCCCCCTTTTCCCTTTCCTGTACCCTTCCTCAAAATGTAAAATGTGACTTCAGACAGGTTTAATTCCTTCATGGGCTGTGATAATAAAATGTCTCATCTCTGCCATTCATTTGTTTATTATTATAATTTCGTGATACAGCAAGAAACTAGCTTGGTGTAGCTGTCTGGGAAATACATAAATTTGACCTAGACTTGGGACTTCATTTCCTTCTAATAATTAAAAGAGTACAATTGGTATTTATTTTCATTAATTAGAGAAAGATACATCAGTATTAAAACACCATTATAAATGTATAAAGATAATTATTATCACAGCCTTGCCCTGAAACCCTGGATTATTACTGTTAGAGAGCTAGTTCCACGAAGTGTTTGTTAGTGTGTTGGACATTTGAGACCCCAGGAAATCCCCTTTCTCGTAACGTTCTCCGCTTGGATCTGATCTCAACAGGGTGTCGTAGTCATTCTTCAGCACAGTTCTTAATTGGAGACCAAGAACCCTGGGCCTTTAGAGGTGGTCTAGCAGGAGAGTTCCAGGTATCAATATGAATTCACAACTGAATTGACGTTTTCTTTGTTTTATGAGAAACCTTATGTTGCGCATCAGATGGCTGGAAGGATTGGTCTGCCGAAGGCTTTCTAGTCCCAAATTCAATTTAGTTACATAGCTGGATTTTAAATCAAATTTTCCTCCTCTTTCACAGTAATTTCTGAAGGAGATGCTGCCAATCCCCCCGCGCCTGCGAAGCGCAGCGGCTCTAGGTATACACTTCACATTGTTTCTTTGCAGGTCGCACAGCATTTTAATCTGCGCCCGCAATGCACAATGCGCGCATGCTTGTCTACCAGTGGAAACTCCATGAGCAAAGCAGGGTGACTAATCATACAAGAGATCAGTGAAAAGGCTTTGGGTGTTTTTCCAGTTACTTTGCAAAATTTAATGTGCTTGAAAGAGTAGTTTGTTGGTGGAAATTTGAACACAATAGAAGTTTTTTGCTGTTGCAATTTGTTCATGGACTTTTCAGGTGCTCTACTTTTCTCCCCCCAACAGGTGCTCTGCTGCGCACAGCAAACTGAAGCGCATTGCTTTGGGGATAAAGCGTCTCCTGGACAGATAACCCTCTTCAGACCAAACCTCTCCTCCTGACATTCTGTTCTGCCATCTTTTAGTAGAAAGATGGTCTAGTTAAGATTTTTTTTTTTTTAAAAAAAAAACAATGTCATCACTGGAATAGTTTGTTGGTTGTTTTTTTTATTATAAATTTAAATTCCCATTAATATGCCTCTAAAGCTGTGTAGCTCAGTTTGGGTAATTTCTATTCAGAAGCACTCCCCTTCCCCAGCAAAGAGGTGTTTATATTAGTAAAGCGTAGTACACCCCTCTTCTTTAGGTCTGCCTGCAGTAGCCAGTTAATGTTAAGTTGGTAATCTGCAGTGCACACTCATGTAAAGAAATGGACATCTTCCTGACACTAATCCTTCTCCTTTTCTTCCCTCACAGCGTTTACTGCCAATTGATGGAGCAAATGATCTCTTTTTTCAACCACCCCCACTGACTCCTACCTCCAAAGTTTATACTATCAGACCGTATTTTCCTAAAGATGAGGTAATTATCTGTCAGTTTAGGAAATGGTAATGTATGTACTTAGAACTTTGCTTTGAATGCAGTGGTTAGAATTCCTTTAGTATCTTAAAATATCTTAATTTTTATTTTATTTTTTTTTTGTAGTGATGTTGATAAAACCCTGAGCCTTCCTTACTATAACCAAGCACTTTGTAACTGAGCTATACCCCCTTAAAATGCAAATTAAAAAACCTAGTGTGGTGACATATGCATGTAATCCCAGCACTCTGGAAGGCTCAGCAGGGGGATTTAATTTGAGTCTAGCCAGCAAAATTTAGTGAAATAGCAAGACTTTGCCTCCAAATAAAAAATAAAGGGCTGGGAGATGTAGTTCAGTTGAAAGGCCCAGGGTTCAGTCCCCAGTACTGAAAACAAAACACCCAAACTTCAGTTGGAGAAAGTCACCAAAACATTCACCACAGGAGGAGGAAATACAGAGAAATTTGCAGAAGACTTTGAGTTTATCTGGGCGTGATGGTACACATCTGTAATCTTAGCACTTAGGCTGAGGCAGGAGGAACACCATGCATTTGAGGGCCAGCCTCAGCGCCTAAACTACAAAAGCAGACACTGTCTCAGAAAAACCAGCCAAACAAAAACCCCAAAAAACTAAAAAATTCGTTGGCTTTTTAATCCTCAATTTATTACCAGAAACTGCTCTGCAAAACAATTTTAAATATTGACTGAAACCTTGCTGTTTTACACTGGTTTTATAAATCTGACCCAATGAATAAATCTATATTTAACACAGTAAATGTGCTGTTGCTGACAGGCCCTTTTGTTATTCCTTCCTGGGACTCACTTTGATACTGTTGATATTTTTTGTTGCCATTTTTTGACATATTGCTGAACTGTAGTTGTATAAAATATAAAATAATATGTAAAAGTCTGTTCCATTTTCAGGCTTCCGTGTACAAGATTTGCAGAGAAATGTATGACGATGGAGTGGGTTTACCTTTTCAGAGCCAGCCTGACCTTATTGGAGACAAGTAAGTGATGACTGTTCGGGTTTGGGAGCAAATACTTAGCTAGGCTTTCTCAGGTTGAGGGAGATGACGACTGGAAAGAAATGTTTGTTTTTTAATTCCATTTTAGTTTCAGTAAAATGTGGAAATTTGTGTGTGTTTTTCTAGTTGCTTTCACAGCAAATGTTTCCATTAAGTTACTCAAGAGGGTTGGACCGTGTGTCTCTTGAGTCCTGGGTTCTGTCAGTAAAAGCTCACCGTCCTTTTCCTCCCGAGCAGGCTGGTAGGAGGGCTCCTCTCCCTCAGCCTGGATTACTGCTTCGTCCTGGAAGATGAAGATGGCATCTGTGGCTACGCCCTGGGCACTGTGGATGTGACCCCATTCATTAAAAAGTGTAAACTATCCTGGATCCCTTTCATGCAGGAAAAATACACGAAGCCAAACGGTGACAAAGAACTCTCAGAGGCTGAGGTATGATTTCTTTAAAAAGTGCTTATTAAAATATGAAAATAAACAGGTGCATCATAAAATTTCAGTGGTTCCTAAGTTAATTTCTTATGAAAAAGAATCTTAGAGCCTTTTTGTTGTTTCTTCACTTGAAAACTTTTAATTAGTGTATGTTTGCAGTGCATGATTACAGTCATGTGAGCTGGTATATGTACACAACACATTTTTATTCTCCCTTCCTCCCCCCATCTCTAGATCCCCTTCCCATGTTCGAAAGCTCTGTCTCCTTGTTTCCTGTTACCTTTTTTGTTTGTTTTTTAAAACAGTCTCACTGTGTAGTTCAGAGTGGCCTTGAATTCTCTATGTATCACAGTCTGGCCTCAGACTTAATGGCAATCCTGCTGCCTCAGCCTCCTGAGTGCTGAAATTATGGGTCTGCACTACCATGCCTGGTCCTATTATTTTTATGTTTTTTTTTTTTTTTTTTTTTTGCATGTAGCAGGAGTGGAACTCATGACCTTGTGCTTGCCAGGCAGGCACTTGTGCTGCTGAGCTCCATCCCTGGCCCTTGAGTTATTTATGTAGTCTAGATACTAATCTTCTGTCAGAGGAGTAGCTGGTAAAGATTGTCTGCCATTATCTGTGGGCTCCCTCTTCACTCTGTTGGTTGTTTTCCTTACTGTGCAGAAACTTTGTAATTTAATGTAATCCCATTTATAAATTTTTATTTCCTGTGCTGTGTGAGTTCTAATCAGGAAGTGTTCGTGAGTGCCTTTGCCTCTTCTGTTTTCTTTTAGCACTTTCAAAGTTCAGATTGTCTGCTTAGGTCTTTGATCCATTTTGAATTCTTTTTTTTTTGAGACAGGGTCTCACTACGCAGTTCAAATTGGCCTTGAGCTCACTTTGGTAGCCTAGGCTGGTCTTGAACTCACAACAATTGTCCTGCCTCAGCCTCCTGAGTGCGGGGATTACAGGCGTGCGCCACCACGCCCAGCAAAAACCCCATCATAAGTTGAAAATCAATCATTTTTATTTCTTCAGATGGAGATACAAGTACAACGGAAGAATTTTTTTTGCCTTCTGTTTTTGTTTTGTTTGAGACAGGGTCTTGTTAGTTAGCTCGGTCTAGCCAAAGACTTTGGTAGCATATAGGCTGATGTGAAATTCAGCCTCCCGGTCAGGCGTGATAACACATACCTGTAATCCCAGCACTCAGCAGGCCGAGGCTGGATAATTGCAGTGAGTTCGAGGCCAGCCTGGGCTACATAAGCGAGTTTAGGTCAGCCTGCACTACAGAACGAGATCCTGTCTCAAAAACAAAACCAAATTTAGCCTCTTAAACACTGGAATTACAGTAATGTGCCACCACATCCCTCTTTCCTTATTTTAAAGCACATGTGTAGTGGTGCATACCTGTAATCTCAGCATTTTGGAGACTGAGCCAGGAGGATCGCCACGAGTTCAAGGCCGGCATAGGCTACATAGTGAGACTGTCTCAAAAAACAAGGAAAAAAGGGGCACCAAGGTAAAGGATTATATTTCGTTCTCAGGACAGGTTTAGGTTTTCATTTGAAAGCTCTTTAAGTTTGTTGCTTGTCAGAAGGAAGGCTTCTTAGTAATGTTATACTTAGAGTTAACAGTATGAACTCTCTGCATCTGCTTTCTTGATATGTCTGTTCTGTCCAAATTTACTTTTCTTTTCTTTTTTTTTTTTTTGGTTTTTCTCCCGTACCGGGAACCGAACTCACGACCTTGCGCTTGCCAGGCAGGCGCTTTTACCGCTGAGCTAAATTCCCAGCCCCTGTTCTGTCCAAATTTAAATGAATTTTCCTATTTAAAAAAGTTTTCTTCTTGAGGATAATTCTTCAGCTCAGTAAATATTTCTAGGCGTATATTTGGGCTGTCATTTATGACACTGTATTTTCTTTCCCATGTTGTTCGTTTTTGTCTTTCCTAAAATTTTTATGTCTCTTATCCACTCCAGAACATTCACATTCTCTTTGTAGTTTTTAAGTACTACATTTTACCTTCTGCCATTAGCTTGATGGCTGTGTAATGGTGGTATTGAATAGTTTGTTTGTTTGTTTGTTTGTTTTCCGGTAGCGGGAATCGAACTCAAGACCTAGCACTTGCCAGGCAGGAGCTGTGCAGCTGAGCTAAATCCTAGCCCCTGTGGCTGTGTAATGGAAAGCTGGCTTGATGTGGCCTGGCTTACTTGGTTGCACAGACACTGTAGCTTGCTGGTGGTGCCTGAGCTGCAGATGTGTTGCTGTTACACATCTGACAGTTTTCATAAGGTAAACATACAAATGTGGACCATTGTATCTATTACTAAAACTTTCTTCTCCTTACACTACTGGGGATGGAAATAGGAACCAGGGGTCCTCTACACTGAACTACATTACCAGCTCTTTTCATTTTGAGACCAGATCTTGATGAATTATCCAAGTTGACCTTTGTGATCTTCCTGACTCATTCTATCAAGTAGCTGAGATTACTGTACTCAGCATACAAGCTTTTTTTTTTTTATTTATTTAAATGATGCTGGAGATTGGATGTAGGGCCTTACACATGCTAATGCTAATCAAGCTAACTCGCTTTTAAGACGGGGTCTCACTGTATAGCCCACGCTGGTCTCAAACTTGTTGCTCTTCCTGCCTCAGCCTCCTGAATGCTGGGATTGCAGAGTCCAGACTTTATTTTTATTTGCATTGAAGTATCTGTCTGTCTCTTCTCCTCTCCTCTGCGTCCCCTCCCCCGCTTCCCTCCTCCTCCCGCCTTTCCCCCTCTCTCTTCCTTTCTCCCCCTTGCCCTCTCCCTCTCCTGGCTAATATCTGGCTAACCTTAACCATTTTGTGTATACAATACTGTTAAGTACATTGGTAGTTTGTGTAAGTGGTACATTACATTTTTTAAGAATTATTTTGTGTTTTGGAGGCAGGGTCTCACCATGAGTCCTGGGGTTACAGGTGTGTGTCACTATGTCTGGTCAGAATAATAATTTTAGATTTACACAAAACTTGCAGAGGTCATACAGAGTTCCTCTATACCCCTTATCTGTTTCCCACATTTATCAAGTCTGAGAAACCATCGTTGGTACATTAGTATTAATTCCAACTTTTACTCTTTCTTCCACTAGTGGCCTTTATTCTGAGATCCAGTCCAGTTTACCACATTACATGCATGCTTTTCTTTGTTGTGTTTGCTAGGGATTGAACCCAGGGTCTGGTACATGCTAGCCAAGTGCTGTAGCACTGAGCATATTCCCTCAACCCTCCCCAAGGTAAACTTACTAAAAACAAAAACACCTCAGCTAGAATTACATGCGAGTAAATTCTGTGATAATTGATGATTGGAAGACTTGCTAAATCATGCTTCCCCTTTCCTGTTACTGAGTTACAATAATGGACAACTGTCAAAATTCAAAAGATTCTAATTTTTTGCAGAAAATAATGTTGAGTTTCCATGAAGAACAGGAAGTATTGCCAGAAACTTTCCTTGCCAATTTCCCTTCTCTGATAAAGATGGATATTCACAAAAAAGTAACAGATCCAAGTGTGGCTAAAAGTATGATGGCTTGCCTCCTCTCTTCGTTGAAAGCTAATGGTGAGTATACATCTATGGAATTGGCATTGTTTGGGTAAGGAAAGGGCAAGGACGGTATTTTGGCTAAAAAAGCAAAGAAGTAAAATTGTGGTTTAAACTCTGTGTGTGTTGTTTAGGTTGGCCTCAACCTTTTGAGTGATCTTCTCTCAGCCTCCCAAGTAGCTGTGACTTAACCACATGCCATGCCACTATGCACAGCTTATCTCTTCTGTTTTCTGAATTAGTAGTGATGTAAGAATCCCATGTATATTAGCATTGAATGCTCTGGCTAGGTGTGGTGCACACCTGTAACCCCAGCTTCTTGGTAGACTGAGTGAAGAGAACTGCAAGTTAGAGGCCAGCCTGGGCAATTTAAGTTGCACGGGGAGGGGGAGGTGTAGTTTTTAGCGTTCCTGGGTTCAGTCGGCAATACTTCGGGGGGAAAAAAACAAAAAGCAGTGCTGAAGAAGAAATTTCACTCAGGAATGCGATTTGTTAAGAGTTTGTTATTTAAACTCAGTCTTCAGAAATACTTTGCTTAACAGTAGTCTTATGAAAACCTTCTGTAAAGGGCCAGATAGTAAATATTGTTCTTTTTAAAAGTCTACATATGGTCTCCATTATATATTCTCTTGTTAAACAACCCTTTAAAAATGTAAAAAAAAATTGTTTTTTGACCCTCAGGCCTTACAAAACTAGTTTGCCAAGCCTTAAAGTTGGTGATCATGAAAATGACCCTCATTTATTGTTGTATCTTTCATCATTTAAATTGAATTCCCTTTGCCCTTTGATGGAATAATTTAAGTAACTTTAAGAAAGTTTCTTTTTTCTTTTTTATTGTTTTATTTTGGGGGATTGAATTCACTAAGCTACATCCCCAGCCCTGTTTTTTGAGACCAGGTCTCACCAAGTTACTAAATTGCCTATCCTGGCAGTTTACAATCCTACTTCCTCACCCTTTCAGAATGCTGGAATTACAGTTGTGTACCACCATTCTGGCTAGAAAAGACAATTTGGAGGAAGTAAGTGAGACAGGGTCTCTGTATAGTTCAGACTGGCTTTGAACTCACTATGTTGCCCACGCTGGCTTTGAACTTGTTACATCCTCCTGCCTCAGCCTCCTTCCTGAGTGTTGGGATGACAGGTGTGTATGCCACCACTCCGGGCTGGAAAAAATAATTCTTAATGTTGTACAGTACTCGGAACTGAATTACAATGAGTAAGTGAGATTTGTCTTATATAGCATTCTTGGTTGTATGACTTGTCACATAGGCTGTGCCCTGTAGGTCCCTAAAAGGCACTTTGTACATTTTGAACATACATGTGCTCTAGAATTTTCTTTTTTTGAGACAGGGTCCCACTATGTAGTTCAGGCTGGCCTCAAAACGGCGATCCTTCTGCCTCAGCCACCAGAGTGGCTTGAGTTTTCTCCTTTTTCTTTTTTGGCCCTCTTTTGAGACAGGGTCTCGCTATGCAGTTTAGGCTGGCCTTGAGCTCACTTTGTATAATGCAGACTGGTCTTAAACTTGCAAGGATTCTACTGCCTCAGCTTCGCCAGTGCTGGGATTACTGGCTTGCAGCACCATGCCCAGCTGCCTTGAGTTTTCTTATACCTTATTTCCCAAAAGATTTCCTTTTGGGGGAAGAACTTCAATCACTGTTGAATATTAATAAGAACTTTTAAAATGGGGGCATAAATTTCAAAGACAAGGCCCTATTATATATATATAAACTATATTAAAATTATTTATAATTTATGTTCATAATTGTATTCATTTTTGTAGTAGACATTTATGTTTTCAATGTTTTTATTTCTAGGCTCCCGCGGAGCTTTCTGTGAAGTGAGACCAGATGATAAAAGAATTCTGGAGTTTTACAGCAAGTTAGGCTGTTTTGAAATTGCAAAAATGGAAGGATTTCCAAAGGATGTGGTTATACTTGGTCGGAGCCTGTGATGTTTTTGGCATTGTGAACTGTCAGTCTTAACTCCACCTTGTGGTTGGTAGTTGGGGGTCTTCAGACAGTTGAGCGTCTGGAGCAGCAACAAATCAACCAGTTGAATTGGAAACAAGACTCCGTAAAGTTCACCTATCATAGACTGAGACCACTGTCTGGTTGGAAGAAGATAGTATTGTTGCAAGTCCAAAACAGATCTGGGCTCCTCTTTTGCGTTTTGTGTCTGATCTTGGGTACCAGGACCTGTTACGTGGGCTTCTATAGGGAGAAGGGTCTTGAATAAATGTAGTCAGCACTATGTTCTGCATCCAGTGTGGTTTAGATCTCTCACCTAAGAGAATCAGAGTTCTGTCATCCTCCTGGGTTTAGTAAATGTCTCATTCTTTGGAGACAGCACAGATGAGAGAAAAAACTTAGTGAGTTTCAGAGACTTCAGGTTGGATGTCCTAAGTGGGGTGGATGATGGTGTGGCATTAGTTTAAGCTGAATAAATGTTTGCAATTTGGGGCAGTGTTTTGCTTTCTGTAAAGCCATGGCCACCTGTCTCCTGTAGCAACCATTGGGTCGGGCGTGTTGTACTTTGTAGGGACAGTGCAGTTGTTTTTGGCAAAAGCCTAAAATTGCTAAGTTTGTAAATTTCTTTGTATATAAACTAGCTATAACCTGATCATCTTTTGTTGACCATTTTTGTAATTTTTTTTCTTTATAAAATGAAAAGGTGTTGGTTCAGGTTGGCACTTTGAATAATGTAAATTAGCATAAGGTGGATTTTCTTTTCTCTTTTTTTTTCTTTTTGAGAAGCTTTATTTTTTCATACGTTTCCCACATGGGGATAGGCCATGGCCATTTTGGTACGAAAATGTAACGACATAGGACTCGATTTGTTGCAGTGTGAAGTTGCTTCTGAAAATTAACCTCAGTGGCAGATCAGGTATGAAATGTTGGTCTGGACATCTGTCAGGCAGGGCAAGGGAGCTGGCTGGTCTCATTTGCTCTTGGATCAGATGTCTTTTATTCTACACCTATTACTACTGGTTTAACTACATCAGTCTGTAATTCTTGCATGTTTTATCTAATTTTTAAAAGAATGAGCACACTTTATGGTTACCCATTTCTTTTTTTTTTAATCACAGATTTTGAAAGCTTCATGTATTTTAATTTAGATTGGGTGTTTTCAAGGGTTCTGAGCATGAGGCTGGCAGGTAATCTCTGCAGGATTGTGTTTTCATCATGGCTGGCTGACTTCTCCCTAGATCTGTATCAGTGTTTTGTTACTGTACTTACCTACAGCTTCATGTCGTCTGTTCAACTCAGCTGTGTGAAGGCCGAGGAGGAGGAGAGTGGAACTGTTCCTCATAGAGCTCCACCGCTGTGGGCGTCCATACAGTCTTAAAGCGCTGCACCTAGTGACTTCCAGCCAAGACCTAGCAGTGTGTTGAATGGGTGGAGGAGAAAGGAGATGTTACTGTCCTTAGGGTAGAAGTCTTTAACTGATAGGATGTGGTATGTTGTAAAGCTAAGGCCAAGTTTGCAGTTTTGAGGGCTGAGGTAAAGGGAAGATCCTTACTAAATAATGTTTAAGACAGGTGAATGTTACTCAGTTTTCTTTTTGAATATATCTCAAGCACTAGTAGACTACGTATTACAGCATTATTTTGAGGATTTGGGGGTCAATCTCATGGAATCAGGATTTTAAAACAAGTTCCTTTTGGTTTTATCTTGGCTTTTAATTACTTTGACTGGTCTTATCACATGTACTAAAATGTGAAACAGATATCCAGGTCTATACTTAAACCTTCATTACTCTAGGATTGTAAAGTGCTATGCTATCTTCCATGGTTATGAGTATTTATTAAGGTTGGAATGACATTTCATTGTTTAGATCGCAGCTCAGTTCCTGTAGAATACGAACTGTAAAACTATCTGAAGACCATGTAAGAGGCAAAATAAAACTTGAAGTGAGTACGTGTGGTGTTGTACTGCGTGCACCTGTCTCCTGTCTACACTCTACCTTTTCTCTGGTCGCTAATGCCTCAGCTGTGAGCAAGTTAGACTGGATCTTGAAGGCAGCCTTCCCCTACTCTTACAGCCCAGTAAAGAAATTTCCTTCCAGATTTTCCTCAAGGCAAGGCAAAAGCTAAGACAAGTGGACTAGTTTTTAGGTAAGCCTCCCTTTTCAAGTTAGTTTGAGTAATGCAGCAATCACCCTGAAAAGTCCTGTCATCTAAGGGGTAGGAATGCAGTTTGCCTCATTTTGTAGGGGAAGAGACCTAAATGGTGTGAAATAGAAAAGAATTTAAAACAAGGATATTCTTGGGCTGGTGTGGAATTAGAAGCTGAGAAGAAGGTGGATCTGCCAAGTGCACAGTTGAATCTGCAATCCTGCCCCACATCTGAGCTGACCAGCAAGCACCAGCATCCCTCCGTATAGAGACTGGAGACACCACACGGCATCAGTCGGTGCCGGGTCAGGCTCATAGTGCAAGAAAGCCAAAGGGTGTGAGTTGAAATTAATGGAACCCAAAGTTTTGCTGCATGCAGGGCAGATCCTGGCACATTTCTTTTTAATAAGCACACCGTCGTGTGGTGGCCCGTGCCACTATAACCCCAGAGTTGGGAGGCTGAGGCAGAAGGATCACACACTGCGAGTCTCCCTGAGTTTAGGGAGGCAAGCTCAAAAACAAGGGTAGGGGTGGGCGGCGGAGTCAGTGTGACTGTTCGATGTGAAGGCCCTGGATTCAATCCTCAGGATCAAAAAAATCAACTCTGAACCCCGACTTGGAGAAAGACTGGGAAAGGAAGTAAAGCTGGCGCTTGTAAACCCCTTCTAACGAAAGCGTACCCCGGGTGGACGCACTGTAGAGGAGGTGCGGTGAGCTGAAGAAAAGGCGCCCGTTGGTTCGTGGCAGCGAACGTTAAACAGCAAGACCCCGCGCGCACTGGAATGACTTCCTCTGCTGTCTTCAACAGGCGTCCCGCGAGCGCCCGCGTCGGTGCCTTTAAGGGGCGTGGCCGGAAGCCGCTGGGTTCCGCACGCGTCGGGGCGGGGCTTCAGGACGGCTTCGCAGCATGGCCGCCGCCGCCGCCGCGTTCCTGAGCCCAGAGAGTCGGGTCCGGGTCGCGGGCGTCGGGGGCGTCCGGGCCCCCGCCCCGGTCACCATGGACAGCTTCTTCTTCGGTACTGGGGAGGGCCCGGAAGGAGGGAGGGCGGCGGGGCTGGCGCCGCGGGCGTGGG